TCAGTAGACTAAGCAGGGGCCAGATCGTGAAATGCGTGTAACGACCTTGGATTCCATGGTTAGAAGTCTAACCATGGAAGGGGGTGGTGCTAGTAACACCTGCTCCTAAGAGTACAGAACTCATGAAATGTCTGTGGAATTCCTTTGTAAAATGCTATATTAAAGTGGCAGATTCTTTTTGTAACTGTGGAGTACCTGCCATGGGCTGGCCCTTGTGCTAAGTATAAAGAATAGAAAGATGGTGAAGACATGGTAGCGCTCACTGCCCCCCGTGGGGCTCGGGCACAGGAATGACCTTCTGCAGTGTGGCAGGGGCTGTCATACAGCAGCTAAAGTTTGAAAAACAGGGAGGATCTCAAAACGTTATTTTCTAGCGTCGAAAAGGGTGCCTGTTATAGTGGGGGAGGGAGGTGTTTTGGGATAGGTTGGATTCTCCCCTTTGTTAACCCACAGAGAACAAAGCATTGGTTTTCTCCATTAGCAGCAGTGATCGCTAAAGGCGTTGCTGCTGAGCTGAACCCTGAATCCACGCGGCACTCGCCCCGCTGCCGGCAGTGTGAATAGCTCTCAGCTGTGGGCAAGAACTGGCCGTGAGGATGTCTCCACTTTGGGTCACAATGTCCCTGCGGCATTTTGGCTGTTTTAACTCTGTCTCCATAGGTAACAGTTTGTTCAGTGTTCATTTATAGAGCACGTAGCCTGGCTGTTAAGCAGAGAGATTCCTTGTTCTTTCAGTCTGTCCGAAAAACTAAGGTTTCACTCCTGTAACACTCAGGCCCTCGGAACGTCCCAGCTTCATAACGTGGACCGGATGCTTCCTGATGCCCCGCCCCACCCTGAGTTTCTCTCGCGGAAACCTCACACGCCCGGCACCTCCCCTACTCCAGACTTGTGACAGCTGAGACGTGGTCACACCCACATGTGAAGGGGCGGCAGAGCTGCTGTCAGAAACAGGCAGTGTCTGGGGAGCCCACGTGCTTTGCTCTTCTGCGTCCCGGGGTAGATTGGCACTACCTGCAAAATGCTTCCTCGCCTTAGCTTGACTGAAACAGGACATACTCCCATGCATTCTGAACTGTGTGCTTCTCTGCCCTCGAATACAGTTAAGAAAACTGACGTATCATCGCCTAGTTCCTTTAAATACTAACATGAGTCTATTTTGCCACAGTTCCAGTTTTGGCTTTGCCACTGACTGGAAATTTAACCTGGCTTTTGGCTGTAAAAGAACGGGATCAGACTCGACAATTCTGCACTCCCTACCCGCTCAATCAGCTCCTTGATTCTGTGTGTCAGGATTAAAGGTTGATACCACCTTCTCTGTGCAGTCATCTAGAACCTATTGTTTCCGAGGAAGAGAGGAAGTTCAAGGCCTTGGGGTGCGGCTTAGTGATGGAGCCCTTGCTGCACGGCCCTGGACTCTGTCCCCAGCACTGGGATGGAGAAAGTGTGGAGAGTAGTTGTTCACTGGTGCTGGTCTTTTTGTTATTTTATATATATTCAGAAAGTCATACTAGGCCCCTAGCTTTTCCACCCTAAAGTGCACATATCGTGTGTTCAGTTTTAAAGGCTGGAGGCCGGGGATGTAGCTCAACAGCACAAGCGCCTGCCTGGCAAGCGCAAGGTCCTGAGTTCGATTCCCAGTACTCAAAAAAAAAAAAAAAAAAAAAGAAATTTTAAAGGCTGGGACAATTCCCAGAAGGCCAGTGCTGGCTACAAACAGAACAAACACTCAGGACTCAGCACTAAAAATATCTCGTAAGAACGTTTCCTCCATGCACTCTGTGGAACAGGTAATTACTGTGGCAACAACAAACTAATTTGAAGTGTTAGCTGTTAATTAAAACATTGCAGAGGTGTATAGTTGTCTTTTGGTGTAACCAGAGCCTGCGTTCAAACTTCATTAATCACTTTCCAGTTAATGTGTTGAGGAAGGTCAAGACCATTGAGATGCAGTATCCAGTTGAGACGCGGAGTCCCAGTATCCGCTGAAAGTAAACAAATTCCTTTTCTGCAGGTAGAATGCCGTTTGCAAAGTGACGGGAAAGACTCAGCTCACGCCTGGTGTTGCCTTTGTCGTCCCCTTCTTGATGATTAAATGTTAAGTTGGTGCTGTCATTGCACGGTAAACCAAGCCACACAGCATCTTTATTGCTCGAAATCGAACCCAAACTTCCACGGATGAATTAGCGTGCGTCATAATTAAATCATCAAGCCTCCCTTTTTAATTCACTTGGAAATAGGAGACCTTTCTTTTGGAAAAGAGATCGGTTTTCTTGACAAGCTAATTAAGTTGCCAAACTGTCCAGGATAGTATGTATATTAGACTGCTAATCATTTCCTTATCTCTGCAGCTGGTCTCAGAAGTCCAGATGTTACTTGTTCAAAGTAACAGTGTTGCTCTTTGTACAACTTTCAAATCCTTTTGTATTCATCAAACTATTTGTTTTCATATTTCAATCCTTGGTTAGTGATTCTAGTGCACAATATTTTATTTTATTTTATTTTATTTTTGTCATTTTGAGACCGGGTCTCACTGTGCATTCAGGCTGGCCTTGAGCTCACTTTGTAGCCCAGGCTGGTCTTGAACTCAAAACGATCCTCCTGCCTCAGCCTCCCGAGTACTGGGATTACAGGCATGTGCTCACACCTGGCCTTAGTGCACAATATTTTAAAAAGTTAAAATTGGAAGAATCTGTGATATACAGGGAAGAATAATACATTATTATTAAATCTTACATATTACCTATGTTGACATGGAATAAAGTTACTAAGTTCCTCAAATCACATTTCAAATCATATAGTCCAACAAGTCCTCTGTCAGGCATTGAGAAAGATATGGCATAAATTTTTATATACCCGTTTATTACATGAGTTTATATAGATCATGAATCAAATCATGACCTAAAATGTAGCTTTGCATTGTTAAAAATTTCATATTAACATCATAGTAAAGTAAGTAATAATTTTTTGTGAAATAAGTATAATACATTACTTTATTCAAAGTATACATTTAATTGGTTAAAGTTTATAAAAGATACATATATTAAAGAGACTGATATTTAGAGAAAGTCTTTACTTTCACAGATAAAAGAATTCTTTAGTAAACAATTATCATCTAGTTTATCATCTAGTTTTTATATTCTTGCTTTAAGTGAGCTGTATCTGCATTTCTGTACAATTGACTGATACAATAAAAGCTAAGTTTGCTTTCCATAATTGGCTTACCCCTTGTCCAATTAAGTAGAAAAAGCAGAATGAATAAATTCTTGTAACATATGTAGATAAATACCAACATAAATGTATGTGTTTTCCTAGTGTCGCCCATAAGCTCTTACTATTTCTGTCAGTCAGTCACTCTCAAAACGTTGCTGGCAATTGCTCAACTCTAGAAATTTACTAAAAATCATTGGCTTGTCCTCTTAAAACAAGTGAACATTTGTCATATGTAAATTATACTTAAGTAGAGCTTCAAAACATTTGACAAAACAATCAGGTATTTTTACCAGAACAACAATATGATGCTTCAACTTTGGTAATAGTGGAATGTGTAAGTATTGTGTCTTAAGAAACAAGCTCTTTGGGGTTCTGGTAGAATATTTTCCCAGCAGGCCCCAGATGAGGACCAGGAGTTCCGGAGGTGCTGGTTTTTCCATCCCTCCCTTGTTGCCGCCGCATTCCCATTTTAACAGTGCCTGGTGAAAGAAAGACCATCCTGATCCAGGTGAATGTGTGAAATCATCAACAGAGCAAATTCTGGTTCCTCCAGACTCATTTGCATTTTATACTTGTGTGTGCTTGCAATAACGATGCTACTTGGTTTATTTTGAAGTTTTTTACAAGGCTGTTTGTTTCTGGATAAGAGTCAGAATAGGTAGTCTCTGCAGTATGTGGATGAAAGGTCACATTTCATTTAAACACAGTAACTCTTGATGAAAAACTTGGGATTTTTATCTCAACAAACCTTACTCTTAGTCTTTTTCATAAATGAGTGTATTCATAGTTTGTTTTTTCTTTTTTTTTTTTTTTTTTGTCTTTTTGAGACAGGGTCTCGCTATGCAGTTCAGGCTGACCTTGTGCTCACTTTGTAGCCCAGGCTGCAACGAACTCTCAACGATCCTCCTGCCTCAGCCTCCCAAGTGCTGGAATTACAGGTGTGCGCCACCACACCCGGCATCATAGTTGATTCTTTTCTCTGTTTTATTTTATTTTTTTTTATAGAGCTGGGTCTTGAACCTAGTGCCTCATACCTGCTAGGCAAGAGCCCTACCAGTGAACTGCATCCCCGGCTCTTATGCGTATTTCTTGGTTTTATAGCTGTTTTGCTGTATCTGATACTCTCAGCCTGTCTCTCTATTTGAAGAAAGATGAATGACATGTTTGAGCCTGACAACTATGATTTCTTAGTGACAATATAGGGTGAGGTTATACTGTAAGCCATAGCTACTTATATGCCTTTTGTGATTATCTTGATGAAATAGAATAATACAGTTTATCTGTATATGTAATTGAAAGAACCACAAATTAAACCTCCCATTTTGCATGCATCTATATGGTACTTAGAATGGAGCTGTAGAGACCCCACTTTCCCAGCGTGCGCTGCACACGCGCGCACACACACACACACCGACAGTCCTGGAGGATCCGAAGCCAGAAAATCCGATTTCACGTCTAGTTCTGATACAAATCACTTTACAAGTTGGACAAACTGCTTAACTTCTCTGTGCCTCAGAGTTCTCATCTGTAAAAGGAGAAAATTAATAACCAGCATTACCTGGGAGGGTTATTTTAAAGTAATGTGTAACGAATCACTTTGTAAGCCATTAAGCTCCATAGAAATGTAAATTACTAACCCATCGTGATTAGCGTGATTAGTGTTCTTTGAACAGACAGTCTAGGTCTCCAGTTGCTGCAGAAATGTTTGGATTGACATTTATGTCCTCAACCATTTCATAGGGCGTTTAGTGATCTCAAGTAACTTTGCTGTTTTTTTCTTCCCATAGAGCATATCATGTCCCAAGTGGGAAAATACTAGCTGTAAAGGTAAGTACTGGACTCGTTTTATGATTTTTTTTTTTTTTTTTTTGTCTTTTTGAGACAGGGTCTCGCTATGCAGTTCAGGCGGGCCTTGAGCTTACTTTGTAGCCCAGGTTGGCCTCAAACTTGCAACGGATCCTCCTGCCTCAGCCTCCTGAGTGCTGGCATTTTATGAAATTCTTGATGGTCTCCTTTCCCCGTCAGCTCGCCTCACAGGTGCTGTTAAAGAACCGGTGGAACAGTTTAAGGTCCGGCTGGCAGGGAGAGGAAGCTGTGGCCCTCTTGTAACATTCAGCCCCGTAGAAGAGTCTTCAGTATTACAAGCTCCGTACATTGTTGTTATTCTCCTCAGTGGTTCTTCTCATCAAGAAGAATTATACCAACCCCAGAAGCTTGGGTATCACCGTGGTCCTAGTCATGCAGCTCAAAACCTTAGTAGAATCGCATTCCTTTACCTGCCACAGCCTGTAAATCGCCGTGTCCTGTTAGAAACCGTGCCCGCAGTGTAGCCATATGACACTTTTGTTTTCACCCATGGCTGTGGCCTTGGATCAGCCTCGCATTGCCTCATACCCAGTCTTCTGCGATAACTTCCTGTCTGTACTTTCAGTCTTTTTCTTCTCCCACAAACCTTCTGCTTTGCCACAGAGTTGAGAAGTCAGATCACAGATCTAGCTGTAACTCTCTTGCCCCACGCTGTCCTCACCTGTATATGTCAAAATGCTTAAGATGCCTGCCTTGCTGCTACACTTAGCAGCAGAGTCAAGCTGCACGTAATTCAGGGGTGACGCAGGCAGTTCCCTATGAGTCCTCCTGTTCCCATCCTGTCGATAATCCGTGCCCCATCTCTGCCACACTCCCAAGCTCCCAGTGCTGCTGGCAACTTTGGATTTGCTCTCTGCCCCTGACGGTTGGCACTGGGTCTTCTTGTCATTTTAAATCTCAGGTTTCCCTCACAGATTATTTTGAATTGTACCTCAGACTGAGCCCTTTGCAACCTTAGGCCCTAACTCCACGGCACCCTACCGTCAGCACCAGGCTCTTACTAACAAACTAGTTAGGCCCTCTGCAAAATGGCCCTTGCTGCCTTCACAGACATGTCCTCCATTTTACCGATCTGGGGTTACATCCCATCGTGCCCTCAGCGCTGGGCCTTTGGTCATGAAAGCTTTATTTTGGGGGAGACTGTCATATGCAGGGATTACCACTGGTAACAACTTCAATCCTTAAAAGTACAAAGTAATTCTACCTATTTTAGACTTCAGGAAACTGAGACTCGCAAAGCTGAATTGTCCATGGTTACAGAGTTGGCAGGGGAAAGGTTGCGGGGGAAATGAAGTCCACCAACTTCAAAGCGCATGTCTTCTTTTAGACTGTGCCCTTTGTACAACTTCCTGCCGTTGTTCCCGTTCTCCACCTGTCCCTTTCAAGATCCATCTCTAAGATGCCTTCATAGCTGTCCATAGTGAGAAATGGTTCTCTTTTCCCTAGCACTTGCATAGTTTATCTTTCTGCATCTTTTATCTTATTAAGAATGGGAGCAAGACCAGGCGTGTGGCGCACCCCTGTAATCCTAGCACTCAGGAGGCTGAGGCAGGAGGATGGTTTTGAGTTTGAGGCCCTGTCTCAAAAAGACCCAAAGAAAAGAAGAAGATAAAGAAAAAGAATGACAGCAATTAAATTATGATTGGGTAGACCCTTAATAAGGTGAAACTGAAACAGAGGCTCAGATCTTCTGGCCGTTAGTGCAGCCCAGAGTTCTTTTTCCATATTGCACCGAGCACAGCACCCAGAATGCGGTGTGTGGCACCGTCAGGGTTAGCTCTAGTAACTTACACAGCTTGTGGTAAGGAGGCGCAGCAAGCTCCCTCTCGGGATGTTTTCTTTACCACTCCATCCAAACTAAGTCCATGGAATTGCAGAATGAGAAGAGACCTTAGGGTCATCTCTTAGGGTCATGCTGTAACCCCTGCCTTTACAGAAGAAGAGACTGAGGAGGACCAGAGACTTCCCAAGGGAGGCAGTCGAGGGCCCCCGCTCCATCCCGGGCTGCCCCTGAGCTCGCCCCGTGCAACCTTCTTGGGCCGCATTGGCCCTGGGTTGTCCTTTCTGTGCCTCCAGAGCTCCCTTGTCGTGGTGAGAGCGCCGCTAACTTGAGCGTTATTGTCCTTTCAATTCATTTATTGGTTCCTTTGGTGCCAAAATCTTAGCTTGTTGCTGATGATATATTTAAAAGTACTGAAACCTAGCTTATTTATTCCAAGAGAGAGGAGCGTTGCTGTAAGTCATCATCCAAAACACAAAGCTGTCAGCACTTGGCCCTACTAAATAAATGGTTCACAATTTCACACATTTTGGATTTTGCTTGACATAGGCTGCTGTTAAAACACTGTGCACTGTTAGATCCGGCGAGGGACACCAGCTATTGCTGTGGAAGATGAAAGGCGATTTTTTAAAAAGAGTGTGCTTTGCAAAATAGTCGTTAGAGACTTCCAGTAAATGAAAGTGTTTGAGCTTTACAAACAGTCTTCAGGAGCCCCCTGACCACGGAGCTGGGCTTTAGAACCAGGATCGTATTGAACCCTAGATTCTGTAAAGTCATCGACTAGGTGCTCAGCTGAGCCAGCTAATGAGTGACGTAAGGGTAGACGGGACTGTTGTGGTTAAACACTTCGGTTAGCTGCGTTTCCTGGTAGCCGAGGCAAAGCCCCTGGGGTTTGTGAAATAGTCGTAGTCTAAGGAAAAGGCATGTGCCGTTTCTTCAAAACAGATAGTATCATTCATTAATTCTGGGAAGTTTGTTATTTAGTTTCCAAATATTTAGAGGCTTTCCAGACCTCCTCCTGTTACCGATTTCTGATGTAATTCCATTGTAGCTAAAGAGCATACTTTGTATAATTGGAATTTAAAATGTATTGAGGCTTATTTTGTGGCTCAAAATACGATCCATCTTGGCAAATGTTCCCCGTGTCTGTGAAAAGAATGTGTGATCCAAAGAACAGAGAGGGTGTTGGATACACGTCAGGTCACGTCAGCTGGTAATGGTGATCAAATATTCTGGGTCTTCACTGATATTTTTTGTATGTGTTCTGTGAGTTATTGAAAGAGGTGCGTTGAAATCTTTAACAGTAATTGTAGCTTTGTCTGGTTTTTCCTTCCAGTTCTGCCATTCTTTACTTTATGTGTGTTGCAAAGGTTCTAGTAGGTGCACAGAGGGCAGTGGTGGGGAACCTACAGTGGTGCCACCGCAGGCTGTTTATTATCATTGAAAGCTCTGAAAGGTTTGCCATCGCTGATACAGGGTTTCTATGTCCTCTTGACCAATTGGCCTTTTTGTCATTATGACATATGTCATTACGAAGTGACCCTTTGTCCATGGTCATATTCTTTGCCTTGAAACTTACATTGTCTGACATCACTGTTGCCATTCCAGCTGTATTTTGACTAGTGTTGCCTTTTACTGTCAACTTACTGTATCTTTCTCTTTGAAGTGAATTTGCCCTAGCCAGCATATACTTCCGTCTTCCTTGGTAATACAGTGTGATGATTTCTGCTGTGTAATTGGGGAATTGGGACCGTTTACATTACATGCAGTTACTGACGTGGTTGGATTCAGATCTGTCATTTTGCTTTGTGTTTTCACCTTGTTCTGTCTGTATACCTGCTACCCTGTCCCTGCTTTCATGGGTGCTCTAGACTTTCCAGCCTGCCTTTTTAAGTTATCATACTCTTTGTACATAATTATACTGTACCACTTGTAGCTGTACTCTTAAGAACCTTACTTTTTCTTGTTTCCCTCATCCTGACCTTTGTGTTTTTAGCAAACATTTTACCTCTGTGTCATAAACCCCGAAATGCACTGTTACTACTTTTGTTTTAGGTATTCATCTTTTAAAGACATTTAAAAGTAAGAAAAATTGGTAATTTACCCATGTACTTAGCAATTCCAGTGCTTTTCATTCTTCTGCGTGGCTTCAATTTCCACCTGCTATTCCTTTCCTTCTGTCTGAGAGACTGCCTTCCTTTGACAGTTTTTGTACTGCGTATCTCTTGGTAATGACTCTTTCAGCCTTTCTATGTTAGAAAAATTGTATCTTTCACTTCCATTTTTGGAAGGTATTTACAGAAGTCTAGGTTGATTACTCTTTTCTTTTAAAGGTTTCACTGTGTTAATTCTTTCCAGCCAGAAGCTTACCGTTATTTTTAATTTTTGTTTCTCTGTATATTAGCACTGGCCTCTTTGGCTACTTTTAATTAAGATTTTTTTTCTTTATCATTGGTCCTAAGCAATTGGATTATAATAAGCTTTGTTAGAATTTTTTATAATTATATTTGAGATCTGTTGAGATTCTTAGATCTGTGGGTTTTTAGTTTTCATCAAATCTGGAAAAATGTAACCTTTATTTCTTTGAGTATCAATTCTCTACCTTTTGGAACTTTAATTGTGTTTTTATTAGATCTTTTGACATTATCCCCAGTAAATGATGCAGTGTTGTTTGTTCTAGTCCTTTTTTCCTATAGTTTGTTTTGGGTAGTTTCTTTTCCCTGTGCCTTCAAGTGCATTGATCTTTTTTGCTCCATTGTCTAATGTGCTGTTACTCGTACCTACTGTATTTTTCATTTTAGACATTGTCCTTTTTATCTCTACAAGTTTGAATAGGCCTTTTTTTTTTTTTTTTTTTTTAACATTTTCCGTGTCTCTGCTTGACATGCTTACTCTTTCCCCTACCATCTTGAATGTATGGAATAGAGTTACAGTAACTAAACCCATGACCTTTCCTACGAATTTATGTCATTTTTGTTATTTCTGGATCCATTTTGACTAATCTTTTTTCTCCTCATTTTGAGTTGTATTTTCTTTTTCAATGTCTTATAAATTTTTATTGTGTCAGTCACAAAGCGTAGATACTAGGTATTTTTGCATTCCTTTGAATATTCTGGAGCTTTGTTCTAAGATACTATTTAGTGACTTCAAAGTAATTTGATCCTCTTAAGACTTGCTTTTA